TAGGATATAAAACTGTTTTCAACATTGTGTCGAATTTTCCAGGGTGTTTAATTGTTTCTATCGGATTTGAACCAGCTTCCAAAACCATCTCGCTAAATAAAGATGGAAAGAAATTGTTTTCTAACGTTGTATTAGTTTGTGATATTGATTCTGAGTTCCATCTTTAATTTTGAAATCACATCTGAAATAAGCATCGGAAAGAAGCAACCAAATTCGATAATGAATTTATTTCAATTGGGATTTAGAACCAACAGTCGGTGAGATGATAATATAATCCTCTTTTTCTTTTTAAATGAATAACGAATCGGATCGTATAATCTAAAGATTGGATCTAGTATTTTATTTGCCATTTTTAAGGTTTAAACTTTGAGTAGAAAATTGTGTTTCCAAAACAAGAGTTATCTCCCTTAAAAATAACATTATTTCAAAACCAGATGTTATTTTATATAAGAGTATTTTTAATATGCTTTTTTTTTGATGGAATGTAGGAAATTGATTGAAGGCGTTTTTTGGTGTATAGGTCTTTTTAATGTAAGAATTTATGAAATGGAGGATGTTTTATGAAATGCAGGATGTTTTGCTGTAAGAATTTATGAAATGTATGGAGTTTAGGTCTTTTTGGTAGCTTATAGATTGGTCGCATTTTCCCCATGAAATGAAATGGAATGGGGAATCCTCATGCGACCAATCTGCAATGTTTGCACTAACAGACCATAATTATCATCACTGACTAAAATTCCTTCAACTCTACGTTTAACAGATTCAGAATGTTGGCCCTTTAGGTAGTTGAATTTAGTTACGTTAGAAATGTCCCCACATTCATGAATCTCGCTTTGAAAAATATCTAGTCCATTTTCGTTAGTCACCAGAAAATATTGGCAAGTTCATTTTAGGCAGTTTTACAGAAGATTGTTTTGACAGCTTACCAAAAATCGTTGGAGTTGATGTTTTGGAACTAACTTTGGACAGGAAATCAGCAATCTTATTCATGATTAATCCATGATTGTCGTACAAAATGTCACATTCTTCAAAATCCTGATCAGCCAAGTCACTGCGATCCATTTGCATGTGTAAATCTTGAATTTCCTCATCCAAACGATGTAATTGCTCCTTGGATTCCACCAGTTTGTTCTGAATTACTTTTAAAAGTTGAATACCATCCACATCTTGGCTCTCAATGATAGAACAGATGCGTTTATCTTCCCTCGTAAACAAACTTCTCAAATTTGCCTTTTTTTCTCACTGTTGATTTTAGCGAATCGGCGAGAGCTTTCTGTTCCGTAGGCATCTTTATAGAATACTTCAGCAACAAACAAAATAAAAGTTCTCAGAAAAAGTTCTTCAAATCACCCAAACTGTCCTTACTATGATCACCAAACGAAACTACAAATTACTGTCTATCATTTTGGCCATCACAGTCTACTGCACACCCATCAACCACTCTTTCGGAAGTATAACGATGAAATCTTAATAGAACTGCGACATATTTGTTGAATACCGCAACTCAATTCAATCACCAACACTGTAAAACGTTCATCACGGCACCAATTTTGTGGGAATATGTGCTCCACAAAGGTATGAGTAAACTTCACGTTGTGTTTTTTAAACTTTTAATATAACAGCATACATCATACAGTATTTACAACTGAGACAGGTTAAGGGAATGTGTCCGATGGTAAGATGGCGGTGTGTGATGTATTCAAATAAGAACACCGTGAGTTCTTTACTATAAGTTTAATACTTGTTCACAGTAGGTAAGGTGGCTGCCAAGTGTCTGCACGTGCGGTAGAAAAGATATATATATAGCATACAATAATCTCGATACCAAAGCACTTTGAAGCATAATCAATAGTCTCGGTTTTCCATGTCAATATATTACATACCTCCCCCTTAAGTTTACAATAATTCCCTAACAGTATACATTGAAAAAAAAATCAATTGTAACAATTATGACAATTACAATTACTGAATATAGTCTTTCAAATAACTCGTTCACGTATCTCTCTTCTTGATGATCCAAGAGTTACTGTTGGAACAGGAGAATCAATACTCTGGGACGATTTCTCAGTAATCTCAGGAATCGGTGTCACGGCTTCCGGTATAATTGGATCTTGACTACCCATGGTATCTTCAGTAGACGGACTATCAGGAATTGAACTAGTTGTTGAACTGACCACTATATCTGAATCAGATTCTGTTCTAGGACGTATATGATCTTGGTGCCTTCGAACTAATCTACCATCATTTAACTCAGCTACACAGGATAACGGGCATGTTCGCTGTTTAATGATAGCAGGAATCCAATTCGGACCACTGGAAAAATTACGAACATAAACTTGATCAGCATTAATTACATTTCGATGTCTTGAATTTCCGTCATGATATAGTTTCTGTTTCAGCTGTTGACCTTTAACCTTCTGTAACATATTTGGATGTATTAAATCAAGATGAATTTTCAAACGTCGACCCATGAGTAATTCTATCGTTGCTTGTGGTGTTGTTCTATATCGAAACAAGAATCTGGATAATTTCGTCTCGATATTCCCTGTTGGTTGTTTCTTCATAGCTTCCTTGAATGTTCGTACAGCACGCTCAGCCAATCCGTTTGAAGATGGGTGATAGGGTGCTGTCTTGATGTGATACACACCATTCTGACTCAGGAACATCTCAAATTCTTCACTGGTAAATACGGAACCATTGTCGCTAACCAGTATATCAGGAAGTCCATGATTTGCAAAAACCATCCTCAGCTTTTCTATGGTACCTGATGACGTTGCAGATGAAACAGGAAGTATATCTATCCACTTACTGTGAGCATCGACGATCACCAGAAACATTTTGTTCATAAATGGACCAGCATAATCCACATGAACTCCATGGTTTCTCAGGAAAATCCCAAGGATGTAATGGAGCCTTTGGTGGGGATGGTTGCATCTGCTGACAATTTCTACATTTCTTGACACACATTTCTATATCAGCATCTAAATTTGGCCACCATACATGGATACGAGCTAAACCTTTCATCTTTACTATGCCAGGATGAGTTTGGTGCAATTCTTCCATAATACTTTTTCTACCAGCGTTTGGAATCACAACACGATTACACCATAACACACACCGTTCATGTATAGTAAATTCATCTTTTCTTCTGAAATATGGCTTAAATTCCTCTTCGTCCAGTTGATTGGGCCACCCAGTCTGTACGTATCCAAGGACACGGGAAAGTACTGGATCTTTCTGAGTCCATGACCTTATGTGTTTCGCCGTCACAGTGACTTCATTCAATCGTTCCATTAACATGATCGTATCCGCTGGCATTGGAGTCTCTGACAATTCTGTAGTGTCTGGTAAAGGGAGACGACTTAGACAATCTACATTACTATTCTGTACACCCGCTTTGAATACCAGCTTATAATCATACGCTGCTAACGTTAAAGCCCACCTTTGAATTCTGAAAGCAGCCAAGGTAGGTATCCCTTTATCTTCACCAAATAAACCAAGCAATGGCTTATGGTCTGTTATTATGACGAAACTGTGTCCATACAAGTACTGGTGAAACTTTTTTACTGCATACACTATGGCAAGTCCCTCTTTCTCTAGTTCTTCTCAGCACTATTTAATGTCCTTGAAATATAGCCAATCGGCCGTTCTTCACCATTCTCCATACGATGACTGAGTACACCACCAACACCATATGGGGAAGCATCACAGGCTAATACAAGTTCTTTTGATGGATCAAAATGGATCAGGACCTCAGCAGAACAAAGAAGTGCTTTTGAATGTTCAAATGCTTTCTGCTGACTGTTACCCCAGTTCCATGTTGACTTCTTCTGGAGCAATTCATGTAAAGGTGCTAAGACTGTTGACAGGTTCTTTACAAATCTACCATAGCATTCAGCATACCCAAATAGCTTTTCAGCTCACTGACCGCAGGTTGGTACAGGTGCACTTTCAATTGCCTTCACCTTCTCTGCAACTGGATATATACCATTTTTATTGATCTTGTATCCCAAATATATCACTTCAGGTGCCAGGAAGATGCATTTATCTCGTCGTAATCTCAAGCCAGCTTTTGATAATCTCTCTAGTACTTTACCCAGCGTTGACATATGTTCGGCACGAGTAAGACCAGAGACTAAAATATCATCAATCCTCACCAATACTCGAGGGAGTCCTCTTAATAAATTTTCCATGCAGCGCTGGAAAATGCCTGGTGCGGAGGATACTCCATACGGCAATCTGTTGTATCTATAGAGACCACGATGCGTATTGATTGTCACGAACTTCTTTGAATCGTCATCCAACTGTACCTGTTGATAAGCTTGACTCAAATCTAACTTTGTAAATTCTTGACCACCTCCTAATGCTGCAAACAAATCTTCTGTCTTCGGAATGGGGTAGTTGTCTAACTATAAAACCTTATTTATCGTTACTTTGTAATCTCCACAGATTCGTATTTCATTCTGGTTTTTGACGACTGGAACTATCGGTGCTGCCCACTCCGAAAATCCAACTGGATCAATGGTACCTTCAGCTAGAAGTCTATCGAGTTCCTTTTCTATCTTCTCCTTTAAGGCATAAGGCACAGGACGCGCCTTAAAATACAAAGGTTTCACATCTGCTTCTACATAGATTTTAGCTTTTATACCATTGAAAGTTTCCAAACCAGCTTTAAATAAATCTGGATACCTCGCTAGAACATCTTGTATCGCTTTAGAATGTTGAACTTTATTCACCTCGAATTCATCTGGCTGTCGTTGAAATATCTGTAGGATTTCTTCTGGCTTTAATTGCAAAGTTTCTAACCAGTTTCTTCCTAGTAGGGTTGGACCATTACCGACCGCAACATATACCGGTAACTCTAACTTCTGATTCTTGTACTCTACTGGAACCGTACTAACCCCTACAGCTCTAATTACTTGTCATGTATACGTTCGAAATCCATCTTCAGACGGTTGTAATTGTAGGTTTCCTTGTGCTTTCAAACGTTCAAACTGTGTTTCGCTCAATACTGGAACTGCCGCTCCAGTGTCTAACTCCATGTCTACCATAATGTCGTTGATCTTAACTGGCATGATATAAGGTTTATATTTCTTCTCTTTCACCATGAACATATTATATTCCCACATTCCATTATTGGTACTGTTTAACCTCGGCCTTTACCTCGGCGTGGAGTGGAAATACGTGGCTGTGACTGTCTTTTATCTTTACTGTTGTTACATTTTGATGCTATGTGGCCTTCACGATGACATTGATAACATTCTTCCTCCTTGTAGTAACAGGCATCGGGTGAATGTTTACCACCACAACGAAAACATGGTTGTTGCTGCTCCGACTTTGCTCTTCACCAGTTGCTAGATTGGTGACCTTTCTTGCTCGAAGGTTTTTCCATATAATTAACTGCTGCTGACGAAGTTGATGTTGAATTACTAACGATCTCAGCTGTATTTCTGGCTGCAGTTTCCATTGCTAAGGCTAATTCTAACGCTCTGGGGAATTTTAAGTTGACTTCGGATAACAACCGGCGTTGAATTCTATCGTCGTTGATACCACATACCAGTCTATCTCGTAACATATCTTCTAAGACTGCACCAAAGTTACAGAATTCGGACAATCTCCTTAGTTCAGCCACATACTCACTCCCTGACTCGGCTGCCTTCTTACTACGTGAATGAAACTTGTACCGCTGCACTATCTCTGACCGTTGGGGGTTTCTGTGATTCTTCACTAAATTTACTAATTCAGCAAAACTCTTCTCCCCGGGCAGGACTGCCGCAAGTAAACTTCTCATCGAGGCATAAATTTTACTTCCACTTTGGCTCAATAAGACAGCTTTCTTCTTATCTTCATCGGCGATGTTATTTGCCACAAAGTAATGCTCTAACCTTTCTGCATATTGGGACCAATCTTCGTTTTCATCAAACTCGCTGACAGTTCCTAAAGTTGCCATTATTCAATGTTAAATTGTTGAAAACATCCTCGTCGCCAATTTTGATGTATTCAAATAAGAACACCGTGAGTTCTATACTAAGTTTAATACAGTCTAGTAACCTAATTTCGTGGAAACATATTATTGGTGAATTTCCGGAAACGATTAATAATTTACGCGACTTGCGCGACCTCCACGTTAGTTTGTTTTGATAAACATGGGTTTTCTCTACAATATCAGCTAGTAGAATGAATTCAGTAGTTTCAAGCAAGGTACAATGTATTAATGTATACTTTGACAAATACAAAATGGCGGATTTCACTTATTACCAAACGTCACCATTTTTTATCGGGCGAATTTCCTTATAATCCCAATCGGTAAACGGAACTCCAAGTGTCGTCTGCTAGAATATAGTCCAACGAATGAAGTCACGTGATCAACTAGCGGATTCTGTGTCAGCAGAAAATTTCTATGGAACACAAAGTGGACCGTATTCTTATGTTGTTTCAGTGACTTTTAGCAATAAATCACGCTACGTATCTTATTTTGTCAGTCACTATTTTTTTTTAAATCATGGTTCTTTGAAGGAATTGTCACTAGTTATAATGAATTGATATTAAAGATAAATACTAAGAGAAGTTAATTATAACACCCGGTATCCATACAA